TTATTATTATTATTATTATTAACAGCCTTGAAATCATTTGCTTTTTGTTCCTGCTTTTGCTGGTTTGTAAATTGGTGAGACCTACCATTGGTTGGTTTCTGTGATGTCAACTGTGACTTCTGATTGATTCTACAGTCCCTCTGAAAATGCCCTTTCTGGCCACAAGAAAGGCAATGAAAGCCTGCCTTTTTACTAATTAGTCTTTTGGTACTTCATATGGAAATGTCTGCCTCTGCTGAGCTCTAGCAGTGAAATTTGATCCAGTTTTCATCAGGTCTGGTTGAGAGAAGCTGCCATTCTCTTCCTTTCTTTGTAAACTTTGAATCTGCTCCACTTCTGACTTAAATCTACACAATACATCATTATACATCAAATGTACTTGCATAGATTGCTGCAAAGTTCCAATCCCAAATATAAAGGCAGAGTGTTCTTATGGCAAAGATCCCAATAGCACTGCAATTTTCTGTTGATTATATAAGCTAAATAAAGCTTATCTAAGAGCATTTTCATGGTTTGAATATGCTTCAAATAATTCCCAGCACTGGGAAACTGCAATGCAAACAGATCTTTGTAGTAATCTGATGTTTAATGTCTGCTTTGCCATAGTATTTCTTTAAGAGTTTAATAATATTCTTAACATCGGTTTCATCATTTACATGAATATATTGATCATCTCCCAAAGTTTGTGCAATAACACATTTCATCTTTGCATGATTCTTTTCCCACATCTGTGTCTCTTTTTCTCCTTCCAGACATTCCATTTCCAAAATATCTAGGATTCCTTCTTCATCCATCTGAAGTTTCATTCATTGAAGCCAAGTATTAACATTATCCTCAGTAAGTTTAGGTATCAAGGACCAGCCATATGCCACCGATGCTTGAGTCATCTCTGCCCACACAAAACAAAACCTCCTGTTTATAAAGCTCAGAAAAACAAAATGCACTGCATCCTCACTAGAGCCAAAAATTCAAAAATCTCTGGCTTCCAAAGCCACAACCCAAAAAATTACCTTGTGGAGACTATCTGGGCCCATAACCTATTAGAATTATGGTTTGGTTATTTGTGGTTAAATCAGTTTAGCAGTAGTAGCAGCAACACAGCAGCAAGCATGTACTCCACAGGTATTTCGTGAAAGCAATTAGATCTGAACTTCTAGTAAATAAACAGGATACATAAGTAAGTAAAAAGAAACTTACTTTATTGTTACATCTAGGTTCTACAAAAAATAACTAATCAGTAGGGAAAACTATATTTTGGTACAGAGGTCCCTAGATAGTTGACCTCCATGTATACAAGTAAGAAGAAAAACATCTTTAGGAAGAGGTCATGGTTTCTGTGTCCATGCTTGTAAAAAGGCAGGCAGAGCTCACTCTCTGGAGAGAACAAAGAATCATAAAAATTTATTACCCCCAGGAAGAATCCCCCAGGAAGAGGAGGGGTATGGGAAGTGACCTCTTCACAACAAAAATGATCAAATGACCCTAGAGATAAATCAGTGTTTCTGTGTAGAAGACACTGCCCCTTCTCAAAGAAAAACATAGAGCTAAACACAATCATTGATGCTAATATTCCAACATAGAGAAGGGCCTATATATCCTTAAGCATCAGATCTTGTTTGATCTTGGAATATAGGCAGGTCTAGCCCTGGTTTAGTACTTGGATGGGAGACCCCTGATGAATAGCAGATACTATAGTTCAGTGGAAGGAACTGGCAAAAACACCGCTGAATATTCTTTGCCTAAGAAAATCCCATGGGGTCGCCATAAATCAACAGGAGTCTTCAAGGCACATAACACATAAACCCATATATAGCAAGGGTCTGGCTGCCTTTCTTCTCACCTTAAATGAGACAAGAGGCATTCCGGGTAAGTAACTTTAAAACTAAAGTCTCAACCTCAGCAACCCAAGTCTTGTCTTCTCATAAAAGGTACCAATGGAAGGGGGGTGTTTGGTTGTGAAATGGTGCCACCTCCCAGAATTTTACCAATAGTAATATCTCTGTGAGAACCAGTGTGATGTAGTGGTATGACCAGGTTCAAATCCCGGTTCGGCCATGTAAATCCACTGGGTGACCTTAGGCAAGTCATATTCTCTCAGCCTCAGGATGGCAATGGCAAACCCCGTCTGAAGAAGTTGTAGGCTTTCATGGCCGGCATCCATAGTTTTTTGTGGGTT